GCCTGCTCTGGGAGCGAGAGGCCGGGAAGGATGCTCTTGGGGAAGAGGAGCAGGCAGGAGAATGAGTTTCTCACACCAACACGATGGGTCACTTTACAGGATGCAGGTGAAGGAACTTGTATGGTTTTTAAGTTAAAGAAAGAAAAATATTATAGTAGAAGACACAGTGCCCAGCATGACGCGGTAAATGTGATCCGAGTGGGTGGTGTCTTGGTGGGGATTGATAGCAACACATCTTTTACAGTAATACATTTGTGAAAATTTAAATATTCACTGGTTGTTTCCATCAGTCCTCCCTGAAAAAACCTTTAAAGTAATTTCTGTCGGATAAAAACTTGCTGTGTCCTCCTCCACCACATTCACCAGGCCTGGAACTGGGGAGCTCCTGGTGCTTCCCCAACTCAAAATTCAGTCATTAGGAAAGGGAAGTGTGGGCCGGAGAGATGGCTGAGTAGAATAAGCGCTTGCCTGGCAAGTGCAAGATCCTGAGTTCAATCCCTGGTACCACAAAAAAAAAAAAAAAAAAAAGGGAAATGTTTTAATTCAGTCAGGACATGGAGGCAGCCAGGATAGTGCATCTGAAGACACTCAGGAAAGAGGACCCCAGAGCTGCAGCAGAGGGCGGCAGGGCCCCTGGGGAGCGTGTTCTAAACCAGGGGAGGCTCTGGAGGTGAATTTATGTCAATAGGTCTCTTACTTAACACATTTTTAAACAATTTCAATAGTTGGCGTAGTTTTTAATGACACCGTTTTGTCCAGGACAGGAAGGCAATTCCCTGGAGCCCTTCAGCAAGCAGTGCTGGATAAATTGGGCCTCTGTGCAGAACCATCAACTCAGAGGCCTTTCCTCACCCACAGGGCTTCCTGGCCACCTCTGACGGCAAGGCCTGGGTTGCAGGAGAAGCGCGTGCCCCGTGTGCTGGGCCAGAGTCCTACCACAGCAGGCGTCTCCAGAAGCGAGGGCGCAGGCTCCGGAGCTCAGTCTGTTTTTACGCTCGGGTCCGACACAGAAGCGGTGGCTGTGTGCAGAGCGATTGGACGGTGGGGTCTGCTCGGGGACAGGCTCAGGGGCACACACGGGGCCCATCTGGGCAGGTCCTTGGCGGCCCCTTTGTCCCCTCCCTCTCCCTGTGCATGAAGGGACATCCCTTGTCCGGACAGGACTGCGGTTTCCACGCTGCTGCTGTGACAGGGAGGGAGGGGCTGGGGTCTTGTGGGCGCTCGCCGGGGCCGCCGCTTGGGTGTGCAGAGCGGCTTCCTAGAGAGAACACGAAACACAGCCCGGCGTCTTCACTGCGGGGCGGCCTCACCCCGATTCTCAGCGCTTCCACCTCTACAGAGTGCCCAGGCCCGCTCGCGGTCCCTGTGCCCCAGTGCCTGCGCCTGACCGTCACGCATCTCCTGCACGGTGCGGCATCCGCATCCTGGACGTTCGCAGCCCTACTCACCACTGCGTGGCTCAAGGCTGCCTCGGAGTGCGGACCAGCTGGGGCCTGGCTGGGCCTGGGGAGAGCCCACGGCCGCCTTCACTACTGGGCCTGCGGAGTGATCCTTCCCCTGGGTGAGGGCCTTCCCCCTACGAGGCAGCCAGGATCAGAAATGCTTCCTTCTCGGGTTCCACAGAGGCCTGGACACAGAGCCGTTCTTACAACCTTCTCTTGGGTCCCTCACGCAGCAGGAGCTTTCCCTTTTGTGTGCTTTTCCTTTCCTAATAAACTTCCCAGCTCACGACTCTTTCCTCCTCTACCTGTGGTTTCATTCTGTGACACCTCAAGACACACA